CTCTTGTTGAAAGCAACTACAGTGTGAAAGTAGAGCGTCTGGAAGAGCTTGTCAGCTGTGTCGATCAGAATTTTCACGTATCTGCAAAATGTACAACCGGGAAAAACGTCGAATTTGTTTTGAAGATATTGTGTTTGAAGAGATCGCAGCAACTACGCGTGGTCGATGGTGTGATCAAGTGTATGTTATATCTCAATGACAAGTCTATTCACGCCCCCGTACCAGTGATACAAGATTCGGGAGATTACGTGACTCTGTATAAGACTGGTGGGTAATAATTCATGTCGATTATATATTGCGTTTGTTGTATTATTGCCCTGTATATATTCAGTGCAGCGTTGGTGTACTTTAGTGCGTCCGAGAAACTCGACCAGTCAGTGGTATATTGAAAAAACAAACAAAAAACTACCTATTGTGAAAATTGTACATTATAATTGTCTGTTTTTGTACTTCAATTGTCAATTGAAATGGAATAATCGAATATCAGGCTATAATGTTAATAAACAAACACATACTGGTTATTCTATTGGGTAATTATATCGGCATTTATATTACTGCTCAGAATAACATCAATAACATAGCGAGAGACCCAGAAAATATGAATATTTTAATCCCAGTCGTTTGTCCGCAACTCTGAACTCTGAAAACAATTCCTGGATCGAAAACAATTCATGTATCAGAGCGCAAATAGTCGTCAATATTATAGGATAGGCTATAATCGTTTTCTATTGCCCAGAAGGTATTGTAAACATTTGTGGGTTGCTCACTTCTAATTTGCATATTTACAAATGATAATGACGCTATCCTCTTAATTAGTACAAACCGGATGTAAATTTACAACCTGCAGGAAGGAAAGTTGTAATAGTTATCTTGAATGTCGAAGAATGGAAGGGAAAATCGGAAAAGTTGGCTGGAAAATCATAATTCTATATATGTGAAGGAAATTAACAAATGCAATATAAAATATGTAATGGAGTCCTTGGAAGGACAAAAAGACAGCAAGGCTGGACGATTGAGAACTTTGAAAGGGGTCGTCGTTTTCTCTGTCTTAAAAATGGTCACCCTTTCTGAAAACGTTTCAATCTTTCAATATATCAACCATATTCGCCTTTCCTGTACTTTTAGTACATTTCAAGACAATTACTTCGTCTTACCAAAATCATTTAGTGTGTTCAGGAAACATTTAAGACTTTCCAGCCAATTTTATAGACTTGTAAAGCCTCTCATTACAAATTCCCAGCAACGTTGTTGGCCTATGATGTTCCGGCCAACTTCTATGTTCCAAGCAACTTTTCCACCTTTCCATCTAACGTTACTACAATTTGGCTAATTTATTACTTTCAAACTTTTGAATTATAGAAACTTCAAGACTGTTGTGGCTGTAATTAATAATAACCGAACAAGCAAATATTAGATTAGTAATTAAGAACGTACAATACATGTCTTGAAAATTCCCAAGGGGCGCTCGTATTACAGACTCAAGGTATATTTTTGGGATCAACTTTGATACAGAAACGTCCTTAGAACATCCCTGGTGAATGAAGGAACTTGACCTAACATTCCTACTTGCGAAGTTTATACCACGTGTAAGACTCGTCATTGGGTATCGATTTAAGTAGTGTAATGCGTGATAAATAATGATCTTTTTTATTTTTTTTCAGATTATGGATATCATGCTGTGTATATGCTGAAATATATAAGTGGAATGTCATACAGTGAAATTCTACAACCATCTGCCACAATGAGTTACAATGCAGGTAGTCTACTTGGCCGTATAGATAATGCACTCAGGGTAAGCATATATAGTGCATATCATCAATACAAGTAACCTGTAGAAGGCTGTGTGGGTAATATTTTTATATGATTTTTGTTGCATTTGCAGCAATAGTTACCAAACAATGAGA